GCGATTGGCGAAGCGTAGTGACAGCGGGCCAATAGAGAGCAGGGTCCTTGCCATAATGCGGTTTGCGCGCCAATTTTCGTACGTGCATTAATCGAGCCGAATAGTTTGGCCGAATATTCGGCTATTCGGCCACGCTCCTGGCCGAATATTCGGTATTCGGCCTGAGGCCGAATATACTATTCGTTGCAACACTAATTATTATAACATTATAAAAGAGTACAACGAATAGTATATTTGGCCCCAGGCCGAATATACTATTCGTTGCAACACTAATTATTGGCCAGGACAGGAGCGTGGCCGAATAGCCAAATATTAGGCCAAACTATTTGGCTTGATTAACGCACATACGAAAATTGGCGCACAAACCGCATTATGGCAAGAACCCTGCTCTCAATTGCCCGCTGTCACTACGCTTCGCCAATCACGTTAATTCTTGACAATTGTAGTGGACACACAAGAGCGTCATGGCAGTATGTGATAAATGATGATATCAAATGTGAATAACAATGAAATGACCTACACGTGTAAATAATGTAAAAAGAACAGAGAAGGACCGCGAAGTGAAAATGTGAAAATAGATATGAAATTGAGTTGATAAAATAATCGAACAAGTTGAGGCAGCTTATTGATGCGAAATTCACAGCCGTCAATGCCAAACAATTGTTGTCATAGACTTCAGAAAGCTAAATGCTTGTAATGAAAGTCACTTAGAGTGCACGGGCGGAAGCCTGGGGCCGTTCGTACTACCAAGCTGTCTCGAATCTGTGAAATCATAACTGTGACTTATATCGACGTCCTATCTGTCTCTTTTCTCCATTATCACCAGGCTACAAGTCACGTAATTGTAAAATGGCAAATCTACGACGGGAAAGTGACGAATTGAAAGTATCGTGAGCGCATATTATGATGTATGCATAGGCATATGTGGACTAGAGCGATAGAGGAAAGAGAAAGAGAAGAGCAAAGACAAGCGCTTAAAAAGAAGGCTAGGCAGGGTCAGACCCTCAGATGTGAGATGATTCTCAAACAAATAGGTATGTACGTGAGCTAATCTTTGTAATTATAAATTGTGAATACAAGTGACTAATATTATATTCTTTTTTATTTTGTGCATGTTACAAGTTATAAATAAATATAAACAAATAACACTAACCCAATAACATTAAATCTAAATACCAAAATGATTAATTTACTGTGTTTTTGTTATTTCTTACTCCTGTTTTTAGGTATTCGGTATTCGGCTGAATAGCAAAAAATAAGCTGAATACTGAATAGTAACCGAATATTCATTACATCACTAGTAATAATTGATTCTATGTTACTTCACAATAAAAATTTCAATATTGCACTTTATTGATATAAGAAACAAATGATGAATACTAATTGTATAAAGTTTCATGTATATTACAACAAACTATAGCTAAACATATATAACAATCAACTAAACAGCTAGAAATTATGAACTATTTTTATTTTAATTAAATTATAACATAAAAATAGCTGTAATTTCTGGCTGCTTGGTTGATCAATCAGTTTATACTACTAGCATCATCAGGTTTAATAATAATTATTATAAGTAAAAAAATTAAAAAATTCATTGTAAATTTTTAATAACAGTTTTTAAAAACAGAAATTGAAATTTACAGTTCATTTTTAATTAGAACATACATTATCTGTATCATATGTATGGTTGGGAAATTTTGTGATAGGAGTGCTTTAATAAATATATAAAATATTGCAACAAATACAGTAAAAATATTATAATATTTTGGTTATAAACAGTGATTCATTCCTGAAAAAGAAAACAGTTTGAAAATGGAAATTCAGCAAAATTTCTAAATCAAACCAAGGTTACTGAATCTATTTTTGAGAAGAGATCTTATGTGTATCTTATGTGTTGCGTGTAACATATCTTCTTTGTCATTGCTATTTATTTTGGTATCTAATAAAATATGGTACTAAAAACAATCAATTTAGTTTTTAACACATTACTACATTGATGCTTTCTGTGCACTGTACAGTACATTAATATATATTAATAAGCATTAACAAGAACATTAAAAATCCATATTAGTGACTCTAAAATAACTAATTTACTTATTTCAGTACATAAATTAAAATCTAAATTAATTACTAAAACTTTGAAAATCTTGTAATTTAAAGCTGAAAATGTTTATTTATAATGTAATATTTTTTATAAAATACAACTGGTTTTTTTTGCATACATGAAAGCCTTACATGTACTAAATTAAATATATTAGTATTAAAAATTAAAGTTTTCATAAAACAAATAAAAATAACTATATTACAGAAGTTAAAACTTCTTTAATCTGTTAAATGTTTTTTGAAAGATTAAGTCTTCATCTTTAGAACAATATGAAAATACATATACCTGATAAATATAAATGTATTTATCTCTAAATCTTATGTGTCATAAATTACACTTTAAATAAAGTGTCTGTTCTAGTGTTTTAAAGTGTAAAACACTTTAAAACACTAGTTTTAAAGTGTTTTAAAACATTAAAACATATGAATTTATAATAATTTTTATAATATAAGTGTTTATTAACTAATATTTATTTTATAATTTGACTATTACACAATCTCATTAAATTGAAGGATTTCTTTCTAAAAAGCTTAATTACTATGTTTATTAAGTGCATTGACATTTTCTTGTCTTCAAAATGCACAATAACAAAAATAATCTTTCAAAAAAATTGTTGATTTTTCCTATATTTTATTAACTAATATCTAATAATTAGTATTATTCTAGAAGTTATAAGAATCTTTTCTCCCTGACTTATATAATAAAAAATAATTTGACTTATTTGACTCCATATTTTTTATATGCACACGAATACTTTAAAATTATTGAAATTAAATTATTAAATGTTTTTTTATATTGATTAAATAGTAAATAAGAACTATGATATTTTGCAAACATACTAAACATATTATTATTTTGAAAAAATACTAAATTGTTTTTTAGTAATAATAAATATATCCTATATAAATAAAAATGCAGTAAATGTACATATGCATCAAACTTTTTAAACAGAGTTTTGTAACTCAATATAAAAATTTCAAATCATACACACAGTAAATGATTAAATTTTTTATTTAATAAGACAATAAATTTCATATTTTCTTTAAAAACTCATTAAAGAATGTATATATACACAATGTATATAATACTAAATTTTTATAGTTATTACAATATATTTAATCTTTTAAAAGTGAAAAGAAACTTTTAAATTCTCTCTGAAAACAATTATTTCTTTTTAAGTAAAATTACAATTGTAAAAATTTGGTAATATATAAAAACAAACATATTTAATTTCTGCTAATTCACAGAATTCAGCTAATAAATTTACTAGTTTTGCACTTACAGAAGTAAAATACAATATTAATTTTATTTTTATCACATTAATACACTTATTCTCCGTTACATTATATACTATTTTAACAAAAATAACTTCATTCGATAAAAAATTATCATAATCGATTAGAAATAATTCTCTAATCAATCAAAATATTTCAATTTCCATCTTGCACGCCTTCGTTATGGTTTTAAAAAAAGTTTTATAATTTAGTAAAATAAAAATTTATAAAAATTAATTTGCTTGTGTTAACGGTCACGCGTCCCGCAGTTAAATTAATTTACTGAAGCATTAATACTTTTTAAAAACACAATAATATTTCAATTAACGATGCAAGATCTTTAAAAAAAATCATCCATCAAAGAAAGAAGGAATGCAAAATTAAAAAAAATTAAAAAATAAATTAATATCTTAATTTAATGACGTACTCATTTTATAGAGCTTATTTAATATCCTTTTGTAGATTAATTTTTTAATGTATTAATCATACAAGACTGAAGAGTTAGATAGAAAAATAATATATTTGTGGATTATATTTTCAAAGATAATTTTGTCAGAATTTAGTTCATTGATTTAATTATCTTTTACCATATCAAAGCATGAATTTAATTTAAATGATTTTTAACTTATAAAAAGTGTATATTATCATTGTTATAATTGAAATAAGCTGTCTATTAATTTGTTTACTTATGAATGAATGAAATTGATTAATTAGATAAGTTGTAAATATTGTCAATTACATTATTATAAAAGATGAACGAAGGGAAAGAAACTGAAAACCCTTCAAATTCTAAGTAAGGGAAATTCGTATTAATAATAGATTTTTAAACAATTTACAAGTCAAACTTACTTGAAATTCCAAATCGTAAACATCCTTTCCTAAATTTTTTAAACAATTATTATTTTCTAGGAGATTTAAGAAATTACTTAAAATCGTTTTCAACGCCATCATTTAATTAATCGTTAACGTAGAGTTTTTTCTCAATTAATCCTTCCATTATTCGATAATTAAAGATATATATACACAATTTGATTATCTTCCTTTTCAATTTCCTTTTACGTCTGACGCCATCTTGTTTTCTTTCCACGTGATTTTTAAACTGTGATGTCATTCGTCACGTGAGAGGAAATTACTTCTCCATGTGTAAGGAAACAATTTGCTTCTATCTCTGTATCAATCGCGCAGTGAGAGTGCAAAGGAAATTTGTTTTGATACAAAAATATATATATACAATCTAAATTTAATAACAATTTATTTTTAAAATATATCAAAGGAAAGGAAGATATTATATATCTTCTGTATACTTATCTAATTAAAAATAACTTCGATAATCTAATAAATTTTAAGATTTAGATAGTTGCATTCGTGGCCACCCACAGGAGAACACGTGGGAGGCACGTAATCTCGGGAATCTTTATGGGAAATCATAGTGGAGCTACCATAGTGGTAGCTCCACTATGAAAACCCATAAAGAAGATTAAAATTGGGCAATGAGCCCTTAATAAATTATTGATTATAAGGAATAAAAATTTAATCTATAAATTTTATCAATGATAAACTATTTATAATGTTATGAGAAATATCTATAGTAACATAGTTTCGTTATGTTGATTTAATAATATAAATCTGTTTATTTTTATATCCTTATTTAAATGATAATTAATCAGAACAAGTAGTGCTAGAGATGAGATGAGATGAATCGCGAATCATTCATAAATACGTGTCGCACTCTTCTCTGAAAGACGTAAAAATATGTGAATAAAATTAATAAAATAAATAAAAACTGTTTTTTACCACTTGTCAAATGAATCTTTTATTTTCACTTTTGAATTTGTTTTTTTATTACATAAAATAGGCTATTAAATTTCGTCTAAATCCGGGTATTTCAAAGAAAAAAAGAAAATATGATCAATAATCATCTTCGGTGTAATTCAAACTAGACATTTAAAAACATTTAAAATTATAATTATTGATTTCAAATTTAATATGTTTAATTTACGCAAAAATTTATTTAAAAAAAATCAATTTTACAGTTAATTTATTAATATAAACACTGAATATTCCATAACTACGAAAATGTATCTGTAAATTAACACATTTATTACTCAACTATACTTATGACGTTTTTATTGATACACTGACGTTATAAATAAATATACTGATAAGACTACATTGTCCAGCTTGTCAGACTCTTATATTTACAAGTAAAATTTACTACTTTACAATTAAAAACAGTTTTACGATATTGTAATTAAGAAGGGTGTAATAATTGCTAGTAATTTTAATAAATAAATATATTTTCTTAGCAATCTTTAATAAAATAACGAATATAATTAATTGATGGAGTTTTAATCGAAGTTAAATTCTACATATCTTTTCATCGTTGTTTTTAAATGAAATGCTTTATACAGAAAGCAAACATGACCTAATAACCCGAAAAACTAAAGTCAGCTTTTATCAAGTTTACAAATTAAATAAATTAACAACCGAAGAGATAGAGCAAAGGCAAAAAATTCCTTTCAACATAGAAACAAATGTTATTCTAAACTTGTCACACACCTTCAATTTTGGAACCATTTCAATCGTTTGATTTTATCTACTGGAAACTTTAACAATTCAAATCGTCTCCAAGGAATTTGAACAACTCGGAGCGCTATAGTAGTCATTTTAATCTTATTTTCGTGTAAAACACCAATTTTTTTTTATTATTATTTATATTGAAATATGCCAATCTTTAATATTTCTAATCAAAGTTGAATTAATGCGTAGGCATTCCTAGCCATGATTGGGCTTCATCTTATTAGGAATCTTATCTCACTGCTCGTTACTAATATTTTTGCTCTATATCTGTATATACAGTACATAACGAGGCTTCAAAAATTCTTGAAACAACTGTTTCTAATGTAAATAATATTAAATCTAAAACAATACTGCAATCATTCAGAAAAAATTGATAAGATCTCTTTACGATGTAGCAAAATATCGATGATAAATTTACATCACTTTAACAAAGGAAAATGTTAATGAACAAGGTAACGGTCTTATTTAAAGAATTTAACTGTAATACAAGTTTTCGAACGAAGCATTATATCAGGAAATAAAAATGAGACCATTAGCAATATATCAATGTCTTATTTTTCCGTATCTGTATTTTATTTGGATTCAATCGTTACTTTAAGTTGTACAGTACAACGAGATAAAGCGTAATATGCGTCATACGAGCTTATTGCAAAATAGCGATATTAGCTATTCAATTATCTTTAATAAGTGGAGTGCTGATGATAGACGTCTGGCTGATAATAATTAACGTAGAAGAAAATATTCAAAATTTTTATTTGCAGAAATTCAATAGTAATTAAACATTGTAATAATCTAAATCTTTATATTTACCAATATGATATAATATTAATATATAAAAATATTTGCGTAAATAACCGAATTCCCATACAGTAATTAGACTTTCAGACATTTTATAAACTTAAATAACAAAGCTGGTTTATATTTTTTTAATATTGATATATTATTTTGTTATAATTAAAGTTGATTGAAAGTTAAAATTTAAAAGAAAGAGTAAAAATTAAATATATATATATATATAATTTTCAA